TTCACGAAATTGCGAGAATTTGATAATTTCCCAGCATTTCTCAAATTAAATATTCGCTGTCGAGAAGGGCATAAAAAGTTGAATTAATTGAACAAATTAGAAAAAAAATGTTTTAGAGTAACAAACTGGTTCATGTAAACAGAATAAAATATTTTTAAATAATTCTTTGTGTTTAGTACAAGTCAATTATTTATTCAAAACCATTTTGAACGTAAGTGTAATTTAATTTCTCGAACAAAGATCGGTACCTTAAACAGAGCCTGGCAGAGGCCCGAGCCCCGCATCAGAGGGGGCCCCCGAATCGAATTAAAAGTTTATTTTAGGTTTCCTTCTTAAATGAACTTTTTTTAAAACAAAATACAGTTTAGTGTAAAATCCGTCTGTTTTATGTTAGCTTTTTCATTAATTTATCAAATGAACACAAGAAAATCTATGTTTCGTAAATCCATGGCTTTCTAGGGCGGAATTCAGCTGAATTTTTGCAATTACGATGGACACTTTTGCCAATCAAAAGCCTGTATTTTTACATGTCGCAAAATGCGATATTTTACAAAAATACAAGCTTCTGATTGACGTAAGTGAGCTATAATAATTGCGAAAATTAAGCTGAATTCTGCCTTAATGTCAGCAAGGATATGAATCAACAACAATGTTGAACAACAGCAACAAAGACGGAACGCTACACATTGACTTATAACGATGGTAATAAACATTTCGAAATCTGCACTAAGTGTTCCGCTGCCCAGGCCTCCCCTGACCACGTTTTATCTTGGCTGAGTCTTACCAGGCTGGACCTGGTTCAAGCTCCTCTGTTGGTGCTAAACTTTCTCAGAGTGAACGAGCTCATAGACCTGATCTAGCTCTGCTGGTCATGGGGATGAGAGCAACAACAGGATATGAATTTTTCGAAACTAGATGACAAAGTTAATAATCAGAAAACTGCATTCTGCATGATGAGTATAGAATTGTCAGAAAATCTGTAAAATGGACAGAACGATACCATTAGAGGGGGGGGGGGACTTTAAGCTATTTTAAGTTCTAGTCAATTTTCTTGTAAAATATGTATAATGAAATGAAAAATTTAAATACCTCCATATAGTTTAGAGGTCGGGCCCCCAAAGAATGTTTTGCCCCAGGCCCTAAGTCTGGTCCTGACCTTAAAGTCGTGACTACATTTCGAAAGTATTTTGTAGTCACTACACATAAAAATAGTAGTTGTAGTTAACTACATTTGTAACAAAGTAGTTGTAGTAAACTATAAAAATAATGAAGTTTTTCTGATCACTGCTGATGACCGTTCGGTCAAGTTTAGCCTATCTTTAGGTAGCGCCCTCTATTTATTCTGAAAATGGCGCAAAATGTCAATATGGAGAAAGCCCACAGTTTTGTGAAAATTAAATGCGTATGTTGTCTATTTTTTTAATATTTAAAAACTTACTCCAATGCTGCATTAACTGGGTTCATAAAAATTTGCAAAAAAAAAAAAAATGGGGATAAAGCATTTATTTTGATAATTTTTATCAAGGCGTGAAATATCGCCAAATTGGCGATTTTAAAAAGGTTTAATAACTTTTATAATATTTAAGTTATTTACCCGTTCTAAGGCCCAGATAATTCGTTACAGCAAGTTGACATATATACATTTAAATTTTAGCTTTTCTACAAGTATAAGGCACTTAAACTGTGTGTGTGTTTTTTTTTTTCCTTAACGAAAGATATTCGAAAAATCATGTTAACCGGACGATATATTGCGGAAGAGACTTTATATGGTAATTTCTGTTTCACCTCTGTTGGTATTTCTAAAATTTAGAGAAAAGTAAGTCCGGGTAAATGATGAAGTTTCAAATGCTGAAAAAAACAAACATTCAATGTATCAAAATGCAAAAAATTATTACAGAATTCCTTCCCTCTGTGTATTTCTGGGTAAATCTGCCATAATGTGTTTAAAATAGTACTAATTGAAACTAAATTTAAGATTACACAAATTACAAAATAAACAAATTAAGTAGTTTGAAAAATTATTCGATTTCTATTTAGATAGTTATCTGACGTTGCTTAAGAAATTGTCTATGAAAGTAGTCCTTGTTTTTTTCATTTTTGTTTGATTTTTTTGCAGAGGTAATTTTCTTTTCCTTTTTTTTTTACAAGGAAAGATTTTGTGAAAGGAAGCATGTTTTTTACAATAAAAATTTTTATGGCAATTTTATTATTATTATTATTTTTTTTTTATTAGACCGAAAATTTCCTCAGTGCTGTTCGAATTTCCTCCGAACCTAGTTCAGGCAATTGGACATATTCTGTACCCCTGCTGGCGTGCTTTTTATGCATAGTATTTTTTCATTGATTTGATAAACATTTGCGCATCTAAAGCAAGATATAACTGATGTTAGGCCGGCTTGCTTAAAATCCATAGAGTTGGCTTTTTATTCATTTCTTTTTTTCCCCTCAAAATTCGTTACGCTCAAAAACAAGGATCATTTTGTTAAGAAAAGATATAATTATTTTTTTATGTAAGAACATTTTGTTCAAATTTTAATCGTTACAAAATGAACGATCACTTGAATTCGAAAAAATAATAAACTGTTCTTTAAAATAGTATATATCGCTCATGGGCTGCAATAGCGGCACACCTTAAAAAATCATGTTTTGATATAAGTGGGTTTAAAGTTTTCACTGCTGAGGAAAATACGTAAGAAATGCTTTAGTTTGCTTAAACGAAGATTGGCTTCAAGTTGAATTATGAGTTGTGCTAGTATTGCAGTATTGCAGCTGAAAGAATGTGTATTTTCATATTTACACCTGTTCTTAGTCCAAAACGCGTGTTTTTTGAGTTGTGCCACTATTGCAGCCCATGAGCGATATATATATATATAACTTTATCTTGTATAACAGTTTAAATTGCACACGGTTTTTTATCTTTCTTGAGACAATTATATTTAGAAAAAAACATTTGATATAAATGCTGGCAACAGATCACTTTTTCTTATTTCTTTTATTTTATTGATCCATTTTTGTTGTTGTTGTTGTTACTTTTGACATCAATTCGAGCACAAACTAATAAAACAAAGATCGCGAGAAAGATAAATTTTTCGACAACAATGGATAAATAATCATTATTTAGAAAAAAAAACAGTAGAAATGAAATCACGGAAAAAGCATTTCAAATTGATATAACTTTCAAACAAATTAGAATTTCGAAATAAAAAAAAATCAAAAATTTCAAATCGGAAGTTGCATTTCAGTGAGCCAATTATCGATTGTTAAAATTTTTTCTCCATTGTACTCCGTGTACTTTTTTCCTCTACCTTCATAATTTCAAGTTTTTAAGTCTTATATTTTCTGTGCATAAACAAAATTTTATTTTAAATTGAACACCCATTAACGAGAATTTAACGAAATAAGATAAACACTAAGTTCTTTCGCCTAACAAAAATATTTAAGTTCTTTTAATTCATTTAAAAAAAATTCTTTATCTTTTTAAAAAAGAGTGAAAGGAAAGACCTTTTTTTCCCTCCTTTGTTTGGTGGTTTGATTACATCAGCTTTGTTCTTTATTTAACGAGAGAAAGTAATGTTTTTTTTTTAAAAAAACGTAGGTAGCAAACGGAGGCGAAGAAATTTAAAGGACAGATACTTTTTCCGACTCGCCCTTGTAATGTGGGCTTCCCACCTACACAAACTATTATGACAAAATCTTTATCTCACAACGGTGGTACACCCTAGGAGGTAAATTGGGTCTGCTTTCATAAAAATGAATTATTATAAAACATATCTTACCTCGAAATTTACAGCACTTATCAAAAATATTCCCAATTATCTGTTTCTATAACACAGTATTTTAATGTAATAATTAAGGTGATTTAAAATTTAGGACTAATAAATTAACGAAGGCAGGAAATGACATTATGAATATATCTAAATTAATGGAAATATGACGAACTTATGACCCGAAAGATATTTTTTTTTTCTTTAATAAAAATATGAAATACGTTATGCCAAAAATGTGTCTATATCTATCTCCATGTGTAATTTATAATTTGTAAATAAAATCTATTTGAATCTGTCTTTATGTAATAAAATATATAAATAGAGAAAAATAATAATGTTAAGAAAAAGTAATTTTGCTTTGCCAAATGCTAGTTCTGCTTATACAGAACTTATAATAAGCATATAATAATACTCCCCCCTTGAAAAAAAAAGAAGAAAAAAAAAACCTTAACTGTAACTCAGTCATATAATAAATTACAAAAATAAAAAAGCAAAGTAAAAAATTTATGTATTTCAAAAATAAAAAAATTATGAATTAAAGAACTTATAATAAAGAAAATATTATATAAAGAATAATTTCTAATAAAAATTTAATATAATGAAAATAAAATAAAAAGGAAGAAAAAACCGACAACTCTTCAGTTAATATTATTTTTTATTTTAGTATTTTTTTTCTCCATTATTTATTCCATCTATTTATTATTTTTATGGTAAAAAAAAGAAGAAAAACGCACTTTAGGTCAATCGTTCCATACATTAATATTAATTAATTTTAAAAGTTTTAATCTTTTTAAAGTACTTTTTTTAGATTCTATTTTAATTAAAATTTATTAACTCATTCATTATTGATTAAAAAAGATACCAATTAAACGTATAATAAAGAAATTATGCTGATATTATAAAATTTTCTGATGTTTTATCAAAGTTGCTTTTTCGGGTTAATGACAGCTTTAAATTTTAAATAAACGAAACAATGTTTTTTCGAATAATTTAAAAATTCGATTTATAAATTTAATTTTAATAATTAAAATAACAAAAAGATTTTAAAAATCACATGACCATCTTATATTATACATCCTTTTTATTATATACTTACGTCATAATATGAAAAAAGTTTTATTATAGTAATCATATTTGCGTTGTTAGCCACCGTTATTGTATTGTATTAGTGTCTTTATAAATACTTATGTTTAAACTTCTATGATACTTATGATACTCTTTCTTAATTTTTAGCCCCCTTGTATATGTCACCAGTTCAAACAGAATGTCTCAATTTGGATTATTACATACCTCAAAATCAAGAGAATGAAAATACTAAAAGATTCACCGATCAAAGATGGGAAAGAATACGTAAGTAATGCTTTCTTGCTTTAAATAAGTAAATCCGTGAGGCAGTGTCAAAGTAATCCGTCATCTACGTATTTTTTTTTTTTTTTTTTTAAATTTAAAAAGTTTTATAGCGAGAAAAGAAATTAATAATTTTAACAAACGATTTTTTTCCCGGAGAGAAATGCAAACGATTCCTAACTTTTTAAAATCTTTTTTCGTCCTTTGATTTCAAACTTAAGTCTGTGACTAAATTTATGTTAAATCTGAAACAAAATTTGTTTTATGAAGTTATGAATAATTTTAATATGTTTATTACAGGCAGAGATGGTAAATTGTAAGTTTTTCTGTACCTTAATAGTAGGTTATAACAATTTTTGATGTGATCAGTGTCTAAAAATTTTAAAGAAAATACCGAACAAATTATGTTCTAAATTCATTATTTAATGATCAGTGTAAGCTCAATTTGTCACGTAATTCGGATTTACAACTAAAACTTATCAGATCGAGNGTTATATTATTATAATTAATAGCTATACTCAAAAAGTATTCCTTTTACTACCGCTATTTATACATTCTTTTAGAACATGAAGTGGAAAAAAAATTACACATTAGAAGTCAAACATCGCACATAAATTATTTCATTCCAGCTTCGTTTTAGTTTTTTTTTAGGTTATATTATTATAATTAATAGCTATACTCAAAAAGTATTCCTTTTACTACCGCTATTTATACATTCTTTTAGAACATGAAGTGGAAAAAAAAATTACACATTAAAAGTCAAACACCGCACACAAATTATTTCATACCAGCGTCGGCTATATAAAAATTGCTAGAATAAAGTAAGTGAACGTATTAATTAAATCTTTTGAAAATCTGGAAATGTATGAATATTTTCTCGATTTTTATTTTTTAAATTTACGAATCATCTGTATTTTCTCGTTTTATCTAGCACTTCAATTTAAAAAAGTCATGCTAGGATTAACTCAAAGAGTTTTATTTTCTAAAAACATGGTAAATTTACCACCATTTTCTTTTAAAAAAAATCTTTTTTAAAACCTCATTTGATACCCATGAAAACCCTTTCCTACTCAATTTTTTCTTCAAAATTAAGGCACTAAATTTGGATCACATACTTAAAATAATATTTTTCTCAGTAAGTTTGATGCCGATTTCTTAAATAATCTTCATATTCTTCAGCTTATATGCTTCGATAACTAAATAGAACAAACATCATTAGAAGGATATGCCGTTTAAATAGGCCAATGTTTTCGCACCCTTATGTAACAAGATAAAGAGAACTTGAAATGCGAAATAGTTGCAAATGTCTAGACCTTTTTTTAATAAATAAAAAGTTTAGGGTTTCGTATTAAACTATTCTTTCAAGTGTAACGAGAAGTTTTCTTTATAAATCGTTCGCATTTTAGTCCTGATTCTTTTCAGTTTAACTTCAATTCACAGTGAATGAAACTAGAAATATTAACCCATAAAACATATTGATGGTAGTTATAGCACTTAAGTGTTTAGGATAATCTAGTTTCGAGAAGTCTAATATTTGCCCTTTAGTTTCGGCCATAATTTGAGCGAGGCTTATTAGAAAAACTTGAAAAAAACACAACTACTTCGATTTAGTAGGAACAACATATGACGCAATGCTAAACGAATCGAATTTAGTTGTTGTTTATTTAGTTATTGTTATTAGTAGTTGTTGTTATTTGTTTTAGTTGTTGTTGTTTATTTAGTTGTATTTAGTTTCAATAACTTTTCTTTATAATGCAATAAAATCTGGCGAGCAGCTATTTAAACGATCGAACACTTCGTTTGTTTATTTGTGGCTTGAAGTTAGGCTCGCAGAAAATGCCGTTCATGGGTTAAATTTAGTAGGAACAACACAACCTGTGACGTAGGCTATATTATACCCAATTGCTGGGATTAAAATAATTTTGCACAAAAAAAAAAAGAAACCTTTTTCGGTTTATTTATTTTTTCGAATGCCGGTGAGATGATTAAATTAGTTCAAAAATTCCTTAAAAAAAAGTTTCAGTGAGTTTGAAGCATGATTTTTCATTTCAGATAAATCAGATATTCTTTTCTCTTTCAGATAAAAACGTGTAATATTTAAAAATAAAAGAAATCCAGACTGCCAAAAATCCCTAAATAAATGTTTTACACTGTTACATTTTTTTTAAAGCTTGTCAAAATTTTTGGTGTGAAATCTGCCATTTATAGTAAGTTTTCTACTGAATTGTCTAATGTAAGTTTTAAGTAGAGTTTTAAACTTTTTATTTTCTTGCCACAAAAATTGATTATAGTTTTCAAATTTCACACATATTTCCGTAAAAACAAATAGTAATAAAAAATCACTGCGTAAAATGATGTTGTTGACCAAGACGATTATGAAGCAATTAATTTGTTACAAAAATTGTATTAAATTTTTTAAACAAGAACGATATATTTTTTTCTCGAAAAAACAAGTTTCTAATTTTTGTATGAAAAAAAAAATTACATTGGCTGCAGAACAATTTTTCCATTCGTGCTTCTCAGCTTCCCGTCATGAAAAAGCATGCAATTTTGCACAATTTTATGTAAATGTTTAAGAACATTCTGATAAAGTATGTAATTAATGATAATTTTTGACACGGACGATAATTATTTTTAGCTGGACGTAATTAAGCCAAACTGTTTATTTATTAAATTTTTTGGGAACATTAATTTTGTTACATTCTACCGTATAAAGGAACATGATAGCTGAAAATACTTCATAAACGCCAAAACATTCTAAGTCATGCCTTGAAAAAATTGCATCGATTGATGTTTTGCCTCGTGTGTTTTTTTTTTTTTGGGACCCTCTTTATTAGTAATATTCACCTGAATTAGTATTGAAAACGATCCGGTTTGAACTGCAGGATAGAATTTCTGATTCTTAATTAAAACAATAAAAACAAAAATATCGTTCAAATGATGAAATTCTCTTTTATTCACTACTCAATAAGTATTTATGGGAGTTCTCTGGTCCCATATCTCAAAAATAAACTCACCAACTTAATACAATACATAACAAAATTAAAAGTGAAAAAAAGAATTCTAAAAAAAATTATCAAACAGCAGCGGTCGCCATAGTAACGCATGCAATGACGACGCATGCGCACTGTTTACTATTACTCTTGAACACAGTTGCAAAGTGTGATGACGTCCAAATAAGGTGAGCACGCCATCAAACCCAAAACAACACCTATTTTGCCAATGGTTAAAAAAGGAAGTTGAATTTGCTTTGCGTTCTATAAAGAAGTCCCCAAATTTGATATTAACAAAGTATGAAGTTTTTATTCTGAAATATGGAAAAACTTCCTTATGTTATTTTTTAGCTATCTTCTTTGCGAACAAACAAAGAAGGAAAGAAAATGGCATTTTCAGTTTTCTTTAAAATACTTTCATTTAAAATCCAGAACTATAAACTTTGCTGCTTTCATAAATCTTTATTTTACGATCACTCAGCCTACTTCAATCCTCTCAAAAAATAAGTAAATGATATATTATTTGTTTATGAAATGAGTTTTTTCTTAGCTCACAAATTTTGAAAATATTCGTTTTGTTCTGCTGAGACTGTTGTTATACTGCTTTCCTGTTCAAATAAAACTTTCACTCTCACATGATCTTCCACACGAAATGACCCTTTTTGGTCAATTTAAGTCCCTTTTAACTCGTATTCTCTTTGACAGATTTCCATTGTTAGCATTGCAAAATGTCCCATCCTATATTATCCTGTAGCGTTTTCTTTTGAAGTTTACTTTCTCCATTGTTTTGCTTTGTGGGAAGTAAAAGTCGAAGTTTTTTTTTTATTACTAAGGGAAAAATATTTTCGAGTTGATATGTATGGAATATAATTTTCAACTTCCTGTTTTGCTAGAGGTATTTTTATGTACTTGGAAAAGTCACCTGTATTTTCTAACAGGGTTCATTGATTTAAATCACAAATTTTTTTTTCTTAAAAATCATTCTTTTAAATCGAATGATTTTTTTTTTAGAAAAAAAAATCCGAACGGCCAAAAATCCCTAAATAATTTTTCAATTTTTTTCAAAACTTATCAAACTTTTTGATTTGAAATCTGCCATTTATAGAAATATATACTTGGAAAAGTCACCAGTATTTTCTAACAGGATTCATTGATTTAAATTAACTGGTTTTTTTCTTCTTAAAAATCGTTCATTTAAATCTAATGTTTTATTTAAAGATCAGATGTAGAAATTTACAAATCATTAGGAATCTATTCATTCCTATTTTGTATTATTACAATTAATATATAATTTTGTATTATTACGATTATATAAGTTTTTTTAATTGATTTTCATACTTTTTGTAAATACACTCATTGCTATAAAAATTAGCGCATCTAGAAAGAGTTGTCAAAATGGAACGAAATTTTACATAAGCAAGAACAACATTGATATAAGTAAGTGATTAAAAAATCATATCAAAATGACCATTTAATGCAGGAAAAAATACATACTAATGAAGGTTTTAGACCACTGTTAGTGCAAATGCAGAGTGCGATACGGACATGCATTGAGACATAAAAGTCCCTTAAAATGTTCTGTGGCATCTATCGTCCCACTGTTGCTGCAAAAACACCGCTAAATCAACTAAACTCTCACACTGTCCCTTTCATTCAAAATTTCATTGATATTTATTTTGTAATGAATTATACCATTTTTGAAATGCGAATTTATAAAAAATCTTATCACATTTTTTTGGATTCAAAAGACTACAAATAAGAAATAAAGTTCAAGGCAGAAAATTTCATTCAGATTTTTTTATAGTTAAAACAGGATAGTGATGAAAATTCTACCAATGCCTAGATCTTCAACATCATATATTTCTGACTCTTTTAATATCAATTTTGAAAGGATTTTTCTATACAATATACAAAAACTATTATAAGTTAAATTCAAATTTTCTTCTCTTATAGTGTGATTATTTTTCCTTTTTTCATTAAATTGATACGTCAAGTTGTTCGATATTTTGT